ACTCCAGCCTGGGCGACAGTGAGACTCCACCTCAAAAAAAAGAAAAAGAAGGCAATGCTGACACATGCTGGAGAACTCTGAAGAGAAAGAAGCCAGCCACAAAAGGTCAAATATGCAATAGCAGACTCCACTTGTATGGGGTATCCAGAGCAGTCACATTCAGGGACAAACTGGAAGCTGGTTGCCAGAGACTGGGAAGAATTGGGAGCTGGTGTTTAACAGAGGGAGTTTCAGTTTGGGAAGATGAAGTTCTGGAGATGGGTGGTGATGGTGGCAGCTGCCCAACAATGTGAATTTACTGAATGCCACTGAACTGTACAATTATGCTTTGTGGTCCAGCCAGGAATGCAGCAGCATAATCACGGCCCACTGCAGCCTCAATCTCCTGGGTTCAAGCAATCGCTACCTCAGCCTCCTGAGTAGCTAAGACCACAGGCACACGCCTGCCTAACTTTTTTCTTTTGTAAAGACAGGGTCTCACTATGATGCCCAGGCTAGTCTCATCCATCTACCTCAGCCTCCCAAAGTGCTGGGATTACAGATGGGAACCACCATACCCAGTGTAAATGGTGAATTTTATGCTACGCCTATTACACATTAAAAATTAATATAACAATTTCAAAAGTTTTTTCAACAGCTACTGACACTTTACTATCTCCAGGGGACTGTGACCCCTACCTTTAAAGCCGCATCATCTAAAATCCAGGTTCCCAATTTTTTGTGTGAGACAGTCTCGCTCTGTCACCCAGGATGGAGTGCAGTGGGACGATCTCAGCTCACTGCAACCTCCACCTCCCAGGTCCAACTGATTCTCCTGCCTCAGCCTCCTGAGTAGCTTGGACTGCAGGAGTGTGCCACCATGACCGGTTAATTTTTAAATTTTTGGTAGAAATGGGGTTTTGCCATGTTGCCCAGATTGGTCTTGAACTCCTGGTTCAAACATCTGCCCACTTTGGCCTCCCAAAGTGCTGGAATTATAGGCATGAGCCATCACGCCCGGACCACCACCCTTTTTAAACACAAGCAAAGGGTGGTTTCATGTTTAACTTGCTCAGAAGGGTAAGTTATCTACTGGTAGAGTTGGGCTTTGAACTAGGCAGTGACCCCATATGGCCTGAAATAAAACTAACCTGATAACCTCATCTCTTTATACAAAACACTGGCAAACAGACATCATTCCCACCAGATGCTATTTGTTCCCACAGGTGGTCACCACCTCAAAGGTGACAGCCTGTTTTGGGTAATGGGGACACAAATATGACCCCCATCCCTGCCTACCCCCAACTCACTGAAAGGCTCTCCCTGGACACCAACCACCATCTGGCACCATCACTGGCACGGAGCATTAGCTGGTGTCTTCGCCCACCTTAACAGGCCTGTCCCATGCAACCCCACTTCCACATGTGACCTGATTCTCCTTCATACAGCTGAAAAAATATGACTGTGGGTTAAAGTAACAACATAACTCAAGACCTATCAAACACAAGCCCCCAAATCTTCAAGTATCACAAAGGGATAACACAACTACCTCTCTCACACTTGGTGTAAAACTTTAAGTGGGTAGCAGAGATTGGCACCTATCCATCGAAAATCTGCTGTTTAAGGATTTTCATGAATCACCTTCTTTCCCCTGTATGTACAAGCTGGGAGACAGACTCACCACAGTCCAACTTAACCTGTGTGACTTTACAATGGTGGGAATGCGATGTGCATTCAGTAGAAGCCCTGCTTCAAACTTTGATCTTGGCTGGGCGCAGTGGCTCACGCCTGTAAGCCCAGCACTCTGGGAGGTGGAGGCAGGTGGATCACCTGAGGTTAGGAGTTCGAGACCAGCCTGGCCAACGTGGTTAAACACCGTCACTACTAAAAACACAAAAATTAGCTAGGCGCGGTGGCGCGTGCCTGTAATCCCAGCTACTCTGAGGCAGGGGAATCGCTTGAACGTGGGAGGCGGCAACTGCAGTGAGCCAAGATCACACCACTGCAATCCAGCCTGGGCCACAGAGCCATACTGTCTCAAAAAAAAAAAAAATTTTTTTTTTTTATAATCTTTTTCTGGGCTAGATAAGTATGACACCTTCTGACACTGGCCATCGACCACAGGATCACGAGATAAACGACTATATTGCACAGTGTGCCGTGCTCAACACATTACATGCAAATATCCAGCACTTCATTACAAAATGGGTTTTGTGTTAAGATTTTGCACAACTGCAGAAATTTACTGTATTATACAAAAGAAAACTGAACTCCGGGCAGCCTCTGAGATGCTCGCGATTAGCTAAGATGGTCCTAGAATTCCAGGGCCTCAACGTGCCCCATACAGGTCTTTCTCACGGGAAACACGATGAAACCACTGGTCCCAGAGGGCCAGGCACACGCCCAGATAGCCTAACCCGTCTCCTGCCAGCCATTCCGGGGAAGACGCTACCGGAGCGGTGCCAGGGTAGGCACCGGTCATCTTGAACCTTCGGAGCAACCACTTACATTTGGCATCCTTTCGTCGGGCTGTGAGCAGAAAGTCCTTGATTTCCTCAATTTTCCGAGGCTGCAACACAAAGGAAGCGGGTAAACAGACAGCAAAGAGACACGTCTTCCGGTGACGGACCAGTCCACCAGCTCCTCCCGGCCTCCGGAGGCCCTGGGGAAGCTCTCTTGCCCTCGCCCCGGATCCCACGAAACCACACCGGGAAGGCGCCAGGCAGGGACCGTACTCACCATGGCGACAAGGCGCGCAGGGAGCTGGCGCAGACCGGGACCTGCAGGAAACAGTCCTTGGCGTTAACACGGCGCCGGGGCTGGCAGTCAACCCCGCTTTCCCGCCCTCCCCCGAAATATCGCCCCCATCGCACTCCCTTTCTCCTCCCCGACACCCTCCACGTGGACCTGGGGTCCCCAGATTTCACCTGGCAGTGGATTGCCCCAGATTACCCTTCTCACCCGCGTACCACTCGAGAGACACGCACAGCCAGCAGCGAGCGAGTAAAAGGACGAAAAAGGACGAGACTTCCGTTTCCGGGCAGTTAAACCCTCCCAACGGAGGAAACTGGATACGGTGCCTGCCGAGCGTCAAGACTCATGTAGGCGTTGGCACTTCCAATTTCAGCAGCCCTGCCCCCTCGTGGTCGAGGTCAACAGTGCAGCTCCAAGAATGGAATGGACCATCCTGGCTGCCGCCCTCCCTCCGACTCCCTCCTCCCACTGCTCCCCATCCCTTCCTTCTATGACCCCCGCCTCTTCCCCATCCACCACTTCCTGTCTTCCTTCGCAACCTCCCAACCCTAGCCTGGCTTCGCTGGGTTTTAGTTCAGATTCAGTTCGAAGAGCTAACGCTTATTCTCCACGGCTTTCACTGGACCTGTGCACGGGACATCTGCACAGAGAATTCTTCATTTAATGGCAGAGACCGTCGTGTGCACCTTGTAGAACCTCTTTTTCTGGCGCCTCACGTTTTCTTCTTCCAGTCTCCTTTTTGGGACCTGAACCTGTCATGACCAGGGCCCTGGGATCTTCTTTCCATAAGAGGGAGCGTTCCTGCCTGCTGCTTCCAGTTCCTTTAGGAATTGGTGTACAATGAAAGCAAGTTAAGGCCGGGCGCGGTGGCTCACGCCTATAACCCCAGCATTGGGGGAGGCCGAGGCCGGTGGATCGCTTGAGGCCAGGAGTTCGAGACCAGCCTGGGCAACCTAGTAAGGCCCCCACCCCCACACCCATCTCTAGCAAAAATAATAATAATAATACTTCCAACAGCTGTCGCAGGGCTGCCCCTGGCTAAGTGTCTCACCTCTAGGGCTGATGGTGCAGCAGTGGGAGTTCTCCTGCTGTTGCCAGCTCTCACCACCGCCCCAGAGGGGAGAGGTGGACTCAGGACTTGAACCCCCGCTGGGCAGATTCCCCAGTCCAGGCACCAGCCACTTCTTGGGGAGGCTTGGGCAGTTTGGGGAGGGCAGCCTTCCTTTCTCCCCCATAACATCCTTCAGGTTAGGCTCTTAGCAACGTGTGGTTATCGATTTTATTTTTATCCTCCACTTTTATTTTATTTCCAACCTCTCTACAAATGTCTACATTTTATTATATTTGTTTCCCCCAAATTTAATAACCACATGGCAGAATGTAATTGCTTCGTGCTTATTATTACAGAGCAGCCCTCCTGAAGAGAAAGAGCACTTTGCCGCAAGCTTACTTAGAACTTATTTAACTTACCTTCCTTTCTTCCTCCCTCCTGCCCTTCCATTAACAAGCTCAGGCTGAGCACCTTCCTGGGGGTGCTGGAGATATAGGAACCAATAGACCTTGCTGCAGAGAGATCACAAAATATTGTAATAGCACTGAAGAGTCTTTTAAAGAAGCTGAACGATGTCTCTGCAACTGTAAGTGTGTCAGGATTCCAGCAGTGGGAAAAGTTAATTGGCAAAAGCCTAATTTTAGATGCCTAAAGGTTGGATCCCATCTGAGAATCATGAGTGCTTCAGCTCTGACCTGAGGACTTTCCTATACCTTAGAGCCTGGCTTTGCCAGCCCTTCCCATCTTAGGCGATGCCTTTCTGGTCTTTCCTACCCCACTGCTCCTCCACAAGCAACCACCCATTCAGCCAAGCCGTGAGGCCTCTTCATGTGCGGGGCACTTTCCGCCCTCCAGGTATTCGCTCTGCTGTCCACTCTGATGCCAAATGCTACTGGTCCTTCCGAGCTCAGCTCCCGCCTCCCCTTTTTCAGGCAGGACCCTTCACCCCTGACTTATGTCGCTTGCCACTCATACAGTGGTTCCTCGCAATCACTTCTCTGTAGGCTGCATGGAGGTGTTTCACTTTTCATACATGTGTACCACTCTTTTTATTTTTAATTTTTTTTTTTTTTTTTTTTGAGACGGAGTCTTGCTCTGTCGCCCAGGCTGGAGTGCAGTGGCCGGATCTCAGCTCACTGCAAGCTCCGCCTCTCGGGTTCACGCCATTCTCCTGCCTCAGCCTCCCGAGTAGCTGGGACTACAGGCGCCCACCACCTCGCCCGGCTAGTTTTTTGTATTTTTTAGTAGAGACGGGGTTTCACCGTGTTAGCCAGGATGGTCTCGATCTCCTGACCTTGTGATCCGCCCGTCTCGGCCTCCCAAAGTACTGGGATTACAGGCTTGAGCCACCGCACCCGGCGTATTTTTAATTTTTTAAAACTTTTTTAGAGACACGGTCTCCCTAGGTTGCCCAGGCTGGCCTTCAACTCTTGGGCTCAAGGGATCCTCCTGCCTCGAGCTCCCAAAGTGCTAGGATGACAGGTGTGAGCCACTATGCCCCACCTTACCACTTTTCCTTGAAGGCAAGGACAGGGCTCAGTATTCTGTCGATAACTCTCTAAGTGCAGTCCCCATCTGTACAGTAAGAGCTCAATGCTAACAGTGCAGGATGATCCGGCTGGATGCGGCATCTGAGATCACTCACTATATGGAGGGGTGGATGGAGGGAGGAATTCAGGGAGAGCTAGAAGGAGGCATTGATGTGCCCGAAGCAGTGCCTGGCATGTAGTAGGTCCAAAAACTATTTGTTGAATGAACGACTGATGCTTCTCACCTCACTGCAGGCCCGACAGGACAAGGACAGGGATAGAAGGAGGAGCTGCACCTCCCTTTTGGCAGCGATCCCAGGGAGACAGATGTTCGCCCTCTTGAGTTGTATAATTTAAGGGACCATAGATGTGTAGTAGCAAAACACAATGGCACATTTGTTCAAGTACCAAAGACCTCCAGCTCCCCAAGGGGGACAAATAGCAAAATAAGCCACAGCCACTAAAAGTGAGGCAAGGCGCCAAGAGGGCACACTTCCCTGCTCCATGGGAGGATGAGCCCCAAATGTCCTGGAGTGGTCGGGGACTGTCAGAGACCAAGGCTGGCAGAGCCCTGGCCCTGAGCGCCACAGCCTGAGACCCTGAGAGGATGCTGCCCTGGACATGAGCCTCCCTGGTGAATGCCATACACACACGAAATGAAACTCTCCAAGGCCCAGGGGGGATCCTGCAGGAGAGGAAAGCCCCAGACTCGAGGACAGGAGGGCTCAGGCTGCCTGTTATGGTCATTCTGGCCATTGGTGGGCTGGAATGTCCAACGCTGGCGGCTGCAGGACAGTGAGGGCTATTCCCATTGTCAAGAGGTGGAAGGGAGGGTCTGAAGCAGGGTGTTGCAGCGTGATTGGAAGCTGGAGAGGCACGGAGGGCATGTCTGGAGCTGCAGGGCACAGTCTAACACTTTTCCCTCCTTCACTTCCCTCACTCTGATGGCTCTGGGTAGAGAGGGCCTCAGAAGGCACATGGCCTCCCCTCCTCCCTCCAGCAGCCCCACCTCGGCACTCCTGAAGGCCGAATGGTTTAGAGTTTTCTCTTCAGTTTTCAGGGACACATTGGAAAGAGGACCAGGATCGGTCAAAAAAACCCCAATGCCCCAGCTTGCAGGTGGGCAGAGGGCTGACATGGCACATGGCTGAGAAAACCTCCCAGCCTCCAGGATTTTCTCCCATTCAGTCCATTCTGTTCACGTGGTGAACATCGATTGAGCTCCTACTCTAAGGCAGCCACTGGGCTGGGCCTGGGAATAAGCAGAATGCGGTTCCAGCTCCAAACACTCATGACTGCTGGGATCCCATAACAAGCTGTGGAGGATGCCCAGAGGCTAGGGGTCTAATTCCTCCTGAGGGAGTCCTGGAAGGCTTCGTGGAGGAGGGGACACAGTGTGCTGCCTCCGGGAGGGGTGCGCAGCAGCTTGCCAGGAGAAGGACTTGCAGACAGAAGGAGGGAGGGAGCTGACGTCAGCCCAGGGTCGGGAGAATGCGGGGTGTTTATGAGAATTGGTGGGAAATTCAGTGTGGCAGAGGTAAGGAGGGTCTGGGGCCGGGGGTCGGGAAGAAGAGGCTGGAGGGGGTGTTGGGCTGGAGTCCAGGGACTTCAGGAGTTCCCCTTACAGCCTCACGGATGCCCGCTGTGGTCATCGTCACCGAAGGGCCCATCCCTGGGGTCCATAGCACCTCCTTCAATGCCTAGCGGCGATCTTCCGAGCCTTGGTTTCCTGGTTTCTAATGCTCTGTGTGTGTGCGTGCACGTGTGTGCATGTGTTGGGGGTGGGGGGTGTGCTGTTGCCTCTCTCCCGCCTCTCAGGGTTGCAGCGAAGCTTCCAACCCGCACCTCTCAGGCAAGGCCCGCCCTGGGTGCTGTGTCCACCGGCGGCCGCACGGGGGCGCTGAGGCCGCGGCTGGAAACGGAGTAGTCCCTTCCGTGCGACTCCTGGGAGCTCAGGCGGAGAGGAATGTACATAAATTACTGGGAATATTTATATGCGATTTCATACCTAGTGGAGGGCTTTCATATCCACCATCTCATTTAATCTCCAGGAGGCCCCCAAGAGGCCCCTGCCTTTGGCTGCCAGCAGGGCTGGCCTTTAAACCATCTCGGAAGGGAGTTATTAAACCTTAAAGGTTGTCAGCAGGCGGGGACTCTGGTCCCTGGCACTGAACTCATTTCCCTGGGAAAGGATGGGGAGGGGGTGGAGGGTGAGTTGGTGCTTTATTTACTTATTTATTTATTTATTTTTGAGACAGAGTCCTGCTCTCTTGCCCAGGCTGGAGTGCAGAGGTGCAATCGCTGCTCACAGCAGCCTCAACCTCTCAGGCTCAAGTGGTCCTCCCGCCTCAGCCTCCCAAGCAGCTGGGACCACAGGCATGTGGTTATATTCTTTTTTTCTTTTCTTTCTTTCTTTTCTTTTTTTTTTTTTTTTTTGTAGAAATGGGGTCTCCCTATGTTGCCCAGGCTAGTCTCAAACTCCTGGCCTCCAACGATCCTCCTGCCTTGGCCTCCAAAGTACTGGGATTACAGGCGTGCACTACTGTACCCGGCCCACTGCTGTTTTTTGGAAAGTGAAGATGGTGAGTTTAAAGGGATGCTGGTTACTTACTGTCCCCCGGACCCCGAAGAGTCCATGAGTCCCTGAGAGGTAGACAGGTTTAACATTCTCCCCACTGCTGAGCTAGAAGCCAGGAAGCAAGGCCCGGCAGACTGGAACAGGGGTTCTCACGCCCCACGTGGTTGACCTTTGTGGATGGAGTTACTTTCACTTTCTG